GTTTCATAAACAAACAGGCACTGCTGAACGTTCCCCATCTTCAGACTTTGTGAGTATGTCAGTCGGTTTTTTATATAGTGTGATTCCCAGACCTGATAAATCTGACTACATGTATTCTGTTTTGATTCAAAGTGACAAAAAGAGGAGGAATTCCTTCGTTTTCCGAAAATATCCAAAATACTCCGTCATCAACATCCGGATAGTATCATTAATTTTCCGGCACTTCAGCTGATGTGTGTAATGCATGTAACGTACTGTAATCAGTCGTGATGGATGTGTGACGGCTGGAATGTTTGAGTTTGCGCTTTAATCGAAGCTCTCCTCGGCCGAAATCAATGTAAAGCGTATAATGCATGATCTGCAACCAATACAGACTTTGTGCCTGAGATACACTCAGCTAGAGGGGACAACAGCATTGCCGAGTGGATTTGGCAAGGGTTTCATTTTTAAAATGATACAACTGAATTTTAGCAAAGGTCCATGTGTCCAACGCAAATTTTACACCCCAAAGACGCAGATCAATTAATTTGCTCTTTTGTCTGATCTCAGTATGAGTATATCTTTTTTTTTTTCTGTGGCGCACTTTCCACACGTAACACAGTGCTATACTTGTTCCTTTCCATAACATGCTTTCAGGGCGCCTATAAAAGTAGCTTCTTGCCCAGATTGGACTTTTCTGGTTACCACTGGCATGTTGCTTCATGATTTTGTAACAGGCGACACCTGACCTAAGATTATGAAGAGTCGTCAGGGAATCCTCAGGACGGAGAACCAGACTATTTGTCTTATTCCAAGAGAAAATATATTTGCTTTTCACCCTGACAAATATTTTTCTGTCCTTTTGCATCCAGGAATATTCAAATTACCAGACAGTAGGCGTAAATTATAGACTCAACACAAAGTTATTATCCCACATGGGTAGAAATAACAACGAGTTACCGGTATGATACGTATGTTCCTACTCATATTCCAACATGGATTTTTTGAGCATGGCTCAGAAGAAATTTGAAAAAGCGCTTTCCGAAGTCCAGAATTCTTACTACAATATATCTAGCAACTCTTAGATAATTATGAAAATACCTTCCTGTGTTTGTCTCAGCAAGGGCTAACAATTTGATTTTATGATAAAGAAAATGAAACGTTATTCGTCAGCGAAGCTGTGCACGTGCATTCCAGATTTTGTCAGGGGACTTTCAATAACGTATAACAACCAAATATTTTATTTCTCTCCCCCCCGGTTTCAGGAGGTTAGCTGACAATTCTATCACTTCATTAGGCAACAATACATTCTCCAACTTGCAGTCCTTGATGACATTGTGAGTATAAACATCCTTGTCATAACCTAAAAAGAAGCAATTACCAAATTCTCGGGGAGCTAAAATTGACTATCCACCCTCAAACCATGCACAAGGACTAATAATTTGATTTTATTTTCACAAGTCATCGATGTAATTCCAGTTCTTCAGGAAAACCTACGGCTGTTGTCTATATCAAATCTGGGGGCACGGGGGAGTACCGGTGCCATTGACTGCATTTCCTATGACATGGAAGATTATGTATAACTGTAGGGACATTATAATCATATCAAGAAGACCATTTCAGATTCGATTATCTAAGTTGTGATACTGCTACTGCATGTTCGGTATGCAGCAATTTTATGACTTTCTTTGATCTGTGTTACAGAGTTTTAAGAGGTAACAGCATGAGCACGCTTGAGGAGAAGGCCTTTATTGGACTACGACAACTAACCATTCTGTAAGTTACCAACGGCTACGAAATAGATTAAAAGCTCTAACCTTGATTGGCCATTCCTTTTAGCCCCAAGCACTGCGCGAAACGTAGGCCTCCTCAAGCCTGCATGGTAGGCTTCTGACGTCCCTTATAAATACACGCCTGCCTTGAGTTTTGTGGGACATTTCGGGGATAGAGCCACCTCGCTAGGTGGATCATTTTATTGGCTTGGCCTTCAGGAAGATGCTGTCAGTTTGTTCTCTGTCGAGAAGCCAGCGCCATGCATTGCCTTTATTTTGGAACTGGTATACCACAAACGTTCTTTTTTCTCGTTCTTTCATGAGGTACAAAAACACATNGATTTAGTAAACAAAACTTTGAGGAATGTAAAAAGTGTTACACCTTTATATGTATGTTAAACCCAGAAATCCATGCGTTTTTATGACGAATTTGTTGAATCATGACGGCCTGGGAGTAAGTTACTGTTTTAAGTCTCTTTTTGTGATGATGTACTAAAGAGACATTGTGTAAAATTTTTAAGAATATCTTTTCCAGAGATCTTAGTCACCAAAACATACAGTCTTTCCAGAAAATGGCGTTCGCAGGTCTCACCAAGCTTTCCAATTTGTAAGTATTATACATATTTTGTTTTCAGGTTAGGGATGAATTTCCTTACATCTGAACGTTAGTCCGGTTCCCAGACCAATAGGCCTATTTAACGACTGTTTTGACAGACCTTTAGGACTGCTAACTGGTATAGCCTCGCTGGTCACTTGACTAAAAGAATTTCTCCCGTTTCCCAAAAGTTTCGAAGAAAACACCCCGAATTTCACCCGCCCAAAAGGTTGATTGTCAATTATAAAGTTCCCTATTTTCCTCGATGTATCATTTTGCATATTAATCTTCACATTTGTACAACTGTGATTACATTTAATATTTGATAAAAAAAAACGCACCTCAACGCATTTCATTTTGAAATAGAAAGGGGAATTCTACACATTGCGTCATACATTTTAAAGTGGAAGATGGCCACCTGCCGACCTCTGTAGACCTAAATCATGGGGTAGCCATCTTGCTTTTCCACTATTCGCAGCAATGTAAACAATTTGAGGTTGGAAGGAAAAATATCCTGTTCCCTGTTAGCATTGTGAAGATGTGTTACTATTGCTATTGGGTCTACAGGGAACAAGACAAACGTGGCAGCATCGCGTTAAAGGTCTTTTGATACAACAGGGAATCGTGCAACCTGTACCTCAGCAACATTTAGTTCAGCCTCGGGCCGGGAGTACATGTTTTTGCAGTGTCATGAATGATGCAAAAATAAATAATTTAACGAGTCGCTTTTGAGAAAGAAAATATTTACTGCACTCGCTCTTTTTGGTTGCACTTGAGGTTTTTGGTGACTACGATTTTATGTTAAATCTGACTTTTATTGTAATTTCAGGAACATGTCTCACAATTCCCTGACGGACATTCCCCGAGGCGCCTTCTTTGGACTGAATGAGCTAGAGAAATTGTACGTAACCGACAGTCATATTACTAAAGCACACTGGATTAATTTCATTGCAGTGAACCAAATGAAATTTGCATCCAAACAAAAATCGTAAGCAGTATTAGATACGATGCCGGAAGCCTTGCAAAGCAACATGATTGTAGGTATGTAATATCAAAATACCTGCCGGAGTTGATTTAATATGGGGTGTTTTTCAGTATACCGTGCACTTAATGCAAATGTAACTTGGAAAAATGGCACGTTATGGGGAAACTCACACTACAAAAAAACCTAACTAACATGGATGTTTGAAGGGAAAAGTCGCGAGAAATTGAAATTAATAGAAAGAAAAGACACAAACCTCCTAATCTCAAATCCAAAAAGGACAAAAAGAGTTTATTACAGGGATGTCACAAACCAGTCACACCCTTAAAAACCAAACAACTCGAATAAACCAAAAACTTGATTCGAAGACACTTAAAGACACTAAAACAATTAAACATATTACAGACAAAACCAAAAAAAAGACAAAAACCAACACAGTGTGTGAATAATGAAACAAATCATACGATTCGGTCAAAAGCTGACTGGGCAGACCAATTCAATCCAAGCAGTGAGTTGTACTCTGAAACCAGACGGTCCACTGCACTCAACCTACCCAAACAGTCACTACATGTATGTGCAAATTTCCTTTGCGTCTGATTCTATTTGCTTAAACTTGATCAACCGTAGTGCTCCTTCTAGGCCCATGATGCATAGCGGCGCCGCCGCCATGTTCGTCCTAAAGGGTGCAGACCACTAATTCAAGTGAGAATTT